ATTATTTAGCAAGATATCCTGTAAGTTTAATTTTTTATAATATTGAAATTAGTTATTATTTTAACAAAAATATAAATGCTTTTTTTTCAGGATATGCAAAAAAAAGCTAGGGAAGAAGCACTTAATGTTTTAGGAAGTGCTTCAACAATACCAACTTCTGATAACCTTAGGGTACTTTTCTATTTATGATTTATCTACATTAAATATTATTACAGTATTATATAGTAATTTTATATATATATATATATATATTAAAAAAATAGGATCTAAAATACATTACTGCAATAATTATGGAATCACTCCGTATTTATCCACCAGTATTGCAAGTATTATATCGTACTCCCACTAAGCCATTAAACTTATCAAGAAATATTACAATACCAAAGGGAGTAAAAATTGCAGTAAATTTATGGCAGATTCATAGAGACCCAAATCTTTGGAATGATGTTGATAAGTTTATGCCTGAAAGATTTATTAATCCTGAAAAAGAGATAAGAAATAGTTGGGTTCCATTTTCTAGTGGACCCAGAAATTGGTAAGTCTTTTTTTCTTTTTCTGAAATTAATATGGCAGTCTCTTATTATTACTTATATATTTATGTTTATAAATGATATTTTTATAGTATTGGTCAAAATTTTTCAATGATGGAACAAAAAATTGTTATTGCAATGACATGTAAGTTCCTTTTAAAGATATGTTTTTTTTGTTTAACTATATACAGTAACAAAGATGATAATAATAATTACTATACTATTTTCATTCATTTACTTACTTAATTATTTACAGTGCTTAATTATGAAATCTCTTTACCTCCAAATACTCCACACTTTGATAAATTAATAATATCATCACATTTCATGTTACGCCCCAAAAATTTAGAACTTATATTTTCAAAATTAAGATAAAAGAATTTAAAGTTTTTTTATTAGTGTATTTATTATCAGCAGATAAATAAAATTTTTAATGTTATATAATTACATTAAACCAGAATTTTTAAATACAATAATATCTCAATTTCTTATATTTTAATGCTTCTAAAGATTAAGACCAAAAAATTTAGATGCAGTATATATCAATATTGGTTGTTATAACTCAAATTTAGATACAGTATATATCAATCAATACTGATTATTGTACTGATTGCTGTGCTAATTGTTGTATATAAACTTCTCTATTAAAAATAGGGTTTTCAAAAATTTAAATTAATAGTTGACAAAGGGTTTTAATTTATTTGTAAGCTTTGAAAGTTAGTGCATTTTATTTATATTCAATTTTAAATTCAAAGAAGAGTAGAGAGTTGACTTTGCATAATCAGAACTGAAATTTTAAAGTCTATATTATACTCTGTAGTTAGATATTTTAGATTATTATAAATATCAAATATTCAATAAATTACTAAATTTTCACTATAACTTTTATCACCTTTATTACTTATACTTCAAGTATAATCTCAAAAATAAATAGAACTCCATTAATAAAATTAACCCTTGCCATTGCTGTCTTATAAATCTGAATATTTACACCTAAATGTAAAGGATCAGTTAAAATTAATTGTTATATAATCAATTAGAGTTGCATAATCTGACATAAAAAATTCAAAATTCTCATTTATTTAGTTGATGTGAATGGTATTTATTATAAAAGTGCAGCAAAAAAAACTAATAGCAAGATATTATATTGATTAGATTTATTATTTTTAAGGAATTAACATCACATTCTTGATTGATAATTTTATACTCTGTTAATGTAAATTTTTATTTTGATTAAAGATATTTAATACTTATCTCTAAATTTGAACTTAATTATTTTTATTTTTTATTTTTTTTTGAATTTGCTGTATACAAGATAAGATTAGTTACAGATTTATATCAAGATGATATTAATTTTGAACTATCTATTATCTTGTATAACTACCTAAGTGTAGCAAAACACCTCTTAATTTTCTATTTATAAACTAATTTAAGACTAGCTACCATTAGTTATAGAGAGGAAAGAGGAAGCCCAGAACTTAATTATTTTAATATAGAAGATAACAGAATTTAACATAAAATTGGTTAAGTGAACATACCTTTGATCACAGAATTTTTATTTGATATATGTTTCAAAATTTTAAAAAATTGTAATTAAACTTGGTAGATTTTTTTACTATATTTGTAAAAAAATAGCAGAATTTAAATAATAAAAAGTCTATTGAATTTGGTTAAATATATAAATATCAAGAAATTTTTAATCAGAGTTTAAAAATTATAAAAATTAAAATAATATTTACATTAATAAGGGTATGCATTATCAAAAAAAGTGCAAAAAATATCAATTTCTTATTGATATTGAATAATATTATTTAGATAAATCTTAAAACTTATACATTGAAATGCAAATTATATTGTATCTAGAAAGTAATTAATCTAAATACAAATATAAAATAAGTAATAATTTTTATTTATAAGTACACAAGTTTAATAATACTTACCAACAGGAACTTCAACAGAAGCGATAGATTTACTTGATAAAGCTATAATATAGCATAATTAGCTTTAACCAATTAAGTAAAAGTGTAATTTATAAAATAAATACCTTTAATTGCATCGGATATTTTTGGGTATTGATTATTTTGCTAGTGTACATAAAGTTGGCAATTCTTTTGCTATTTTATCTGCATTTAAGAATTGTTTTTTAATTTCACTTGCATAATCTGAACTTTTTATGCTTTCATTCCAATCTTTAAGTTTATACCAAATATTTAGAGTAGTGGACCGTTTTTGTGGATCAGTATCCATGCATTGATTAGAAATTCAGTATAACAATCCGTAATTCCAGGAGCAAATTCTGGACGCAACCCTTTACAAATTTTTATTGCAAGACCAATGTTAAATTCATATCCATCAAAAGGTCTTTGTCCAGTTGACATCTCTGTCATGATGACTCCGAAGCCGTAGATATCAGCAGCTTTTGTAAACTTATGGCCTGATAAAACCTCAGAAGCAACATAAGGCATGACACCATAAATACCACCTTCTGAATCGTTCTTGTTATATATTTTAGACAATCCTAAATCTGAGATGTAAGATTGCATACTTTCACTAATTCCTTTATCTTGTAAAATATTGCCACTGTGAAAGTCTGCATGAATATATCCTGCTCTATAAATAGAATATAAATTGTCAGAAGTAATTTTAACTTAGTCTTCCAGGTAAGATCACGAAAATTTTTTTTTAAAAACTTATGAAGACTTCCATTATCAGCGTACTGAAATATCATAAAGTGTTCATTTGTTTTCATATTTTGAGTTAAACCATATATTTTAAGCTTGCTACCTACGAGTGTACAGTTCATATGATTCTCAAACTGTTTAATGCATGTAATCAGTTCAATATTCGTTTAATAACTTCACAATAAATTGTTAACTTACCTCTTTTAAAAACTCTTGAGGATTATTCTTAGAAAAAGATAAGGTCTTAAGTGCAACTGTGCTAGATTGTTCACGAGCTCTCACATAGTTACCGTGAAAAAATTTTTGTATGCCATGTTTAGTAATAATTTTTCGTATACCATCCAACCAAGTTGCAGAAAATACAGAACCAAATGCTCCTTCTCCAATTTTTTAATATTTACTAGTCTATCAAATGGAATCCACTCAATCATGCGTTCATAATCATAAGTTCTAATTTGGAACTCTTTCATGCAGTTATCAATATTCTTATTTCCGCTTGTCCATCCCTTAATTGCCACGTCAGGATCACATGTCTGACACCACGCTTTACGAGTGTTATATTCATTACAATATGCACATTTTTCATAATCTGAATCTCTGTAATTATCAATCGTATTAATTATTTGTTACTTTTAAATTTAAATGCGAATAATTTTGGGTAGTTTGAAGAATCGTGAACCCATTTATATCACATTTATATAATCCCTTAATGTATATAATTTATCACCCTCTATATAATCACTTATAATATATAAATACGTATACCAGGAACGTAGTACGAAGTACGAAGTGTATGGTTTACGGGCAACTATCTGTGTACAAAATTTTGGATCTTATTGGACAGCATGATCTTGTCATGTGAACTTATTTTGTATAAGAACTACAAGTTTTTAACTTGTATTAATCTGGTACGTACGTACGTACCTTGACTAAGAATTGCGATCATGTTAAAATAATTATTCAAATTTGGTTAGATTGAACATTTATTTTTGATTTCACCAGTTAAACACAAATACCTTGTAAATTTGTCACGTGGAAATTATTAGGTAAGGATATACAAGTTAAAAACTTGTAT